ATGATCATGGAAGCCGCTGCCCCCAGGTTAGGTGGTTCTCTCTGGGTCTTGAAGCAAACAGAGCAGCCTTGCTCCTGCAGCACTAACACCCTCCTCACTTCTCTTTGTACAGGGTTTTTAGCTCCTAACCGGACCCTCTTGCCCAGACGGACAGCAGGGGGGCTGCCCCCTGCGCGCCGGCAGGGGTGGCAGCAGGTTTTGTAAGCGTGGACACTGCTGAACCTTTCCTACGGGACCCCGCGTGGCCCACCCACCCCCGCTCTGCCTCTCGTCCTTGTCGCCGCCGCGTCCTGGTTTCCCTCTTCTGGGTTCTCGCCTCTCAGTGTTTCCTTCTTGGGTTTCCTCCTTGAGTTTTCCTGCTGCAATGCAATGCCTTTATAATCTGCAGTGGCTCTTACAAAACTGTCCCCCCCCACACACCACTACCTGACAAGGGACACATCAGCAGGGCGTGAAAGAACTGGAACATGGGCGTCGCTCGTGGCACGGCTGGTTTTCAGGGGTTCCCCTGGAGAGGCTGCGGGGGCCTCACAGAAGAGTTTTCTGAGCCAGTCCCTGGCCCGCGGAAGTCCCTCTTTATCCTTTTTTATGGTCATGCGTGAGTGTGTGCGCTCGCATGCACGATGGGCCTGGGTCGCCCACCGTGCCCTTGCCTGTTCAGGCGTGTTGCCTGCAGACACCACCACCTCTGTGCTGGCTTCGTAACTAAAGGTCTGTGCTAGTGTCCCTGTAACACTTGGATGCACCCTAGTGGTCCTGATTATAAAGGATCAGGGCATAGAGAGGGGTGTGTGATGATTCGGGGGGAAATCTCCAACGAAAGGGGGAAATCAACAAATTAGATGTGTACAGATTTTGGCACCAGTTTAGCAGAGCCCTTGCTGGGAAGGTAACCCATCTATTGGATGGGACAGCCCCCTCCCCAACCCCACCCATCCCAGCTGGAATCACCTGATTGGCCCTCCTGGGGCAATCCCACCCTCGAGGCCAGAGGTGATCTTGTCCAAGGGGGCGTGCCGGAAATAAGAACCTCATTTGTGCCACCTGGTGACTTTGGGCAAGTCATTTGTCCTCCGACTCCCCTAGTTGTAATGTGGTAAAGCTAAAACATGAATGGATCAAACTGGAACGCTGTGAAGACTGGAATCAATATGAAGGAAGGATGTCATCGTTATGTTTTTATTCTCCCAAATGGGGCCTGCTGTTTCACCCTTGGGGCTAAAATAATGGAAGCTAGTTACAGTGGAACCGGCTGGGCAGAGAGAAGCCACGTGGCTTCTTCTATAGGACCACAGCGGAGGGTGGGAAGAACCTGGCCTTCTAAAAGGGAACCCGCCCATTTTTAACCTGATAAAATAATTTGAACAAATAAATTATCCTTAACTTAACTAAAAAAATGGGCAGCAGTCTTTAGCAGGCATCAGGGCGGGGACGATTTCTGCCGGGCCAGCAACCTGCTGAGCTAACCCTCTCCAAGTAAATGGCCCTGGAAGCGTCCCTTTTTTTACGCTGAAGTGCTAAAAATCAATGGCAGGCAGCCGTCCAGAGAGAGCCAAGAAATCCCAGGGGCCCCCCCCACACAAGGGACTGACTCCAGGGGATCTTGCTGTTTGGTTTGGTTTTGTCACACAGAAAGATGGCATTTCCTTTCTATACTGCACAATGGGCATTTCTTTCTTGATGCTCAGTTTGGGGAGTTGCCAAAGAGAAAGCGCCCTGGCCCTCGTTGGAAGGGCCTTGCAAAGAGGTGTTGCAGGAGCAGGGTGGGGGGTGGGGGGGGTATGTCAAAGGGCAAACTCTGTCTTGCCTTTCCCCACCCTCCCTGGCAGCTCCCACTGATGTCCCATCCCTGGGACAGAGTTACGCGCTCCCTGCCTGCCTTGAATCCTGTTTTCTCCTGCTCAGGCTTCCAGGGGCTTAGAGAACAAACCCCCAGCATGCTCCCCGGCCCTTTCGAACCCGGAGGGGAGCCCATTGTAAACCCCACACAATTCTGGCTCCTCGTAACTTGCCACCCAGAGGCTTTCTTTCCAACCCCTTGAGCCTTTTGGAGATACCTGCTAAGATGTCACTCAGCTCCCCAGAGACTGAACTGCTGCTGTGTCCAACCTCCCTCAAAGAGGAATTGATCCGCGTGCTTCCCTCTCTAAATTAAGCTTTATGCACGAATGCTTTTCCATCAACGAATAAATACTTGTGAGCACTTACTCTGTGCCTGGCACCTTCTTCATATTATCTCTGTTCTTCTAGCAGTAGGCAGACAGGTGGCAATAACTCCCTTGTTTTAGCAGGGAGTCCAAAGAAATGATTATATAACCAGGACTCATCTTGGTTCCCGAGAAAGTTTTTTTTTTTAAGTAAATACCTTTCAACCCCAACACAGCTGCCTCATTACTCCAGGCTAGAGGACAGGAGATGGGGCTGATTTGTTTCTCTCATCTCTCAGAATCCCTGGTACCAAAAACCTGGCTGTGACGAGCCCTCAAGAGGCAGATGGAGAATCGAGTTCTGATTTAGGAGTTAGTAGCTCTGATCCAGGGTGTGTCAACGCTGCCCTCTTGTGGCGGTTTTTCGTTCAGTCCCAGTAGCCAAAAATAGGTGCAAACGTTTGTATAACAATAGGTGAGCAAAAATAGGGTTGACTGGGCATTTGGGGGTTACCCAGGTTATAGACTTCTTATTTCCCTCTCCCCCTTG